AATGTTTAACAAATATCTATATTTGATTTTATGCCAAGTGGCATCAAATAGCATCAATTCGGCTTAAACTTAATTATAAAAAATTTAAAAATTCGACAATAATTCGATATACCGAATGACCAAATTTTGACTAGTATTATACTTGTAATAATTTTATAATTCAATAAATAATATTAATTTGATTGTAAGTTTAAAAAAATTTTTATAATTTTTATATTTAAAATATAATTTTTTTTCCTCTAATTAAACTGCTAGTGATATATTTATTAATTTATTTTTGAAAGCAATAATACAATATACAATATAATACTATATTAAAACTAAACTTTTTCTTATATAACAAAATATTTATCAATAAATTATTTATAAAATTGTATATGATTCTTGAATCCTTAATTAATATTACAAATCATTAGTTGAAAAGTTTAAAATTAACCAATCAGAATTTAGAATTTTTAGTTGTAACTAGTTGATTATATTTAAAACAACTAATTAATTAGAAATTTTTTTGTCAATTAAGATCACTACAATAGGACTCTGAAAAGTACTGAAATAATATCAATCTATAGTGAATTTAATATATGGGTTATAACCTACTTATATAAATTTATAGTAAATTTAAATAAATTTAATGTATGGATTGTAATCAACTCATATGAATTTATAATAAATTTAAATATCAAACTAGTATTGAACAGGTATTGAAGTGATACTGTTAGGAATCCTATAAATCAACATGCCAAAAATGAAACTATTCCTTATGAATAGGGATGAGGTCACAAAACAAGTATCATCATGTTGTAAGGGTCATAAATGTGTACCAGATTGGACATTAAAGTGCTAATTTATGGAAGTAGTGATACAGGTAAGTCGAATTTAGCTGTAAACCTTGTTTCTGGAGATAAAGGTGAATATATTCACAAGGGTAAAAAAGGAGGATCGAGATATACTGTATATGGTGTGATGATTTGATAGTTTGTGGTTACCACCCTAATGAGCCAAAGTGGACATATGTTAGATATTTGTATAGAGTAATTTCAAGAAACCCAAATAGAACTATCCCGATTATTTCGAATATTCATTGCATGTTCGAGTTGCTTCCACTTCAATCTTAGGTGCTCGTGAACATCTCTTCTCCGGATCGGCTCCTTCATTCCTAACCAATGGCCAAAGGCAACCCATAAACATTTTTCTTATCACCTGTGGATGTCTCACGAAGTAGGGATGTTATCGCATCTGAATCAACCTTGCTAATTATATCTGTATCAATTAACATCAGAAAATCGGAGGGAATATCAAGTATCTCGAATGTGCCGGTATATTAGACCTCGTTTCTCTAATTAACGTTTTTATTAATAAATTCCACGTTTCATCTTTAGATGATATCCAATCCGAGGAGCAGAGAGATGAACTTGACCACTTGTTTTCAATGTAATGTATTTTGCCTGAAGTACATAATCCCTGAGTCGCGGATTGGGTTCGGTGCTAAAAAATAAACCGATTAAGTTTAGTGATAATTTCTAGGTTACTTGATAGGTACGAAGTGCGATTTCTTCCGAAATAGTATACATGAGGCGGGAAAACTATTTACCCATTATTTTTTGGTAAATTTTCTTCTTTTTATTCTGACTCTGAGCATATAATGCGAGAAGGTAGGGTTTTGATTGAGAGTACAACGTTTCTGGTTCACGCTGATCTATGTCAAAATCATGACCACCCATATTATGTATATGTAATCACAATACGAACGCAGAATTTTTTGTAAATCATTCACATCATGTCAACTCATCACTCACCGCCACAGAACAAGAACCAAGAACTATATTCTATGTGGTGCTCGAAATTTGATCTTGCAAGGTACCGCTTGCTTTCCATCAAACGACAGGAAGGAAGAGAGGAAGTTAAACGAAGGGGAATCGTTATCGACAGAGAAATATCACTCGAAACTTATCTTGGGTTTTGTGATAAAGAACCGAGGATTTCTGTTAAATACCGTTTAGCCGATGGAACAATCGAAGCCTATGAAATGCCTGTCGACCTTCACGCAGTGGTACAAGCAAAGTTAATTGGTATCGTGGATAATTGGAATGATCAATTACAAGTCTTTGGTGAATTAGATATCATTGTTGGTTCAAGAATGGTCTATCGTCCTGACATTAGTATTCGACCAAGGAATCGTCAACGACCTCAGGCCTCACAGGCGGTTAACTCATCAGGACACCCATATCCAACCTTAGTTGTGGAAATTGGCAATACGGAAAGTGTAAGAAGTTTGCATGATCTGGTAATAGGATATTTTTCTCCACGTAACACTATTCAAATTTATTTTGCCATCAAGTTATTTCCTCCCCGTCGGGATAATTCTGTTGCATTACTTGCACTGCTTTACTTACGTAACAATCCAAATCCAACCATAACTGTAATCGCAAAGTCTTTTGGAACAGCACCTCTTCATATTTCCACACAAAACTATCTTCAAAATACTGCGAATGTTCCAGTCAATACAATCACTGGTGTCGGATATGGGGGAGTTCCTTGTGATGGTGCTAATCTTCAAGACTATCAAATAGCTATTCCTACCATCTTACTTTTCAATGGTGTTCCTGGCGGTGTTCCTAATGGTGTACCTGCTAATTTCAACATAGATTTATGGAGGTTGCAAGATGCAATTCTGAATCTAGACTAGACTGTGTGGGTGAAATTTTTATTTTACCGGAATTTTACAATCACCATATAGGTACGTTGTTTTCATATCTTGAGCTATCCACAATTTCGTATCTAGTGGATTAATACTTCTTTTTGTTTGTGTTATTCTATACATTCGATGGCTATAACTTCGGAGGAATTGAGCAGTTCGTAGTTGATCCTCTTTTCCTTCTAAACACAATCCTCGAATATTTTATGTGAAAGCTCTTTCTTGATAAGGGACTTTTTAAGACCTTTAGCCATTATCATATTTTTTCGTGAATTTTCACACACAACACTATAGCATTTCGCACGAACTCCTGCATAGCCAATAGCTCGATCTCCTCCATTCTCATCTTTCCACTTACCTATAACTTTGGTATTTTTTAAGACACGTTTACCTTCTTCATTAATTATGCTTCTGGTAAAGGTAGATAACTACTACCTCGCAATGGTCTAAAATGCGCTTATTTCGAGAAATACCTCTTATGCTCTAACAAATGCCCATTCTGATTCTTGTAATGCTTCATCCTCAATCTGGTCTATAATTTTGTTATATCCTTTTTCTATAGTTGTGTTAATTTGATCTTCTCTAATAATTTTCTATTGTTTCATGCTTGAATGGAAAAGTTTTATATATAGGTTCTTTATCTTCTGGTGTAATTTTCTTCATATATGAGTATAACACAATTCTTACTTTTAATCCTCCTTTTAAGAATAATTCTCTTTTTTAAACATCAACAATCTTTTCTTCAATTGATTCAAAGAAACCTAATGGTTCGTTTTCCGCATAATATCCTTTTGGCACGAATGCATAGTAATCACATACCTTACCTTCATTAAATTTTCTGGCTTCTGCTATTCTATAATGTATGGATCCTTATTTTTTTCGGATGAATATCTGGTTCTTCTTCAGCAGTATCATATTCTGAAGAAGCAAAGCTTCGATATTCCACATCATCACTTGGTTCGCTATCATTATCTTCATCTAGCTCCATTAAATTATACCATTCTTCATCAGTTTTAGGAATTGGTTTCGATCTAATTTTTTTATTATTTATTATTTCCGGTTTTGATAACCATTTTAATAACCCATCTATTGTTAAAATTATTTCTTTTTTTGTTTGCCTTGAATATTAGAACTTGGCCCGCTTTTATATCTGGAACATCATCAGTTAAAAGGTCGACTGCCGGCACATTTACTTCTTGGCTAGGCTGGCTAATATGTTGGTAGATTTTCGTCAAATGATATAAGATCACCCTCTGATGGTGGTGCTTGATTTTCTACAGGGACTTGGCTTGTATTGGAATCAGATTTTCCAATAGTGTCAGAGTTGGGTTTTCAGTGGGATTTTGAGTGGCTGGATTTCCTATTGGAGCTTGAGAAAGATTCTTAGATCAGCAAGGATTATTCGATTTAAATGTTGTTGATATTTCTGATAAGTAGAAAGATTTAGACCACATCTATCACAAGTAGTATTTTTAATCATTGTATATAAAAAATATTATATATTACTTTTATAAAAATCTTTGATTAATTATTTATCCTAATCAAATATGATCAGTAAATATACCTGCCAATATATACATAATTCTGGTAAAATTTGCAATGGTCCATCTAAATGTCCTGAGGAATGCCATCTTTATTATAAGTCAAAAAAATGTGTATTTTGTATTAATTGTGGAAAACTAATTGCTTCTGCTTATAGATGATACAAAATTTATAAAAGAGTATATTATATTGTATCTTTTTATCAAAAGCTTCATGAAGAAGTTTTAGAAAAATATATATCAGAAACATAAGCCCTAGAATTTTTAATTAAATTGGTGTACTTAAAAATTTGTTACTTATTTTATTATCTTTTTTACTATTTGTATACTAACTAAACAGATAATTATGCTTTGCTATGCTATGTATCCAGAGTCACTATACTTCTCCATGACAGTAAATATTTTAGCAATCAAAAAGACAATGTATTTTTTATTAAGAAAATCGATTATATATATATTAAGCATGTATCTAAAAATTTGCTACTTATTATTATTATTTTTTTTTTCTAATTATGAATTAAATAGAAAACTAAACAGATAACTATACTCTACTACACTATGCATCCAGAGTTTCTATACTTCTCCATAATAGTAAATGTTTTAGCAAATAAATAAGATAACATATTTTTAATTAAATTGTCATGTACCTAAATTTTTGCTATCTTTTTTATTATCTTTTTTATTATTTGTAAGCTAATAGATAACTAAATAGATAACTATGCTCTGCTACACTTTGCAACTATTTCACATTCAATTAAAGGTTTATATTTACAGTGATAAAAAGCTAATTGGAAGCTAAAAGAATAACTATGCTTCATTACACTATGTATCTAAAGTTGTTATGCTTTTCCATAACAGAAAAAATTTTAGTAGTCAATTAAGATAACATATTTT